AAAAGCTAGTTTTGTAAACAAACTTACTGATTAGTAAAAACACTTTTATAGTCCACGGAGCAATCAATCATGAAAATTAATTATTTAATTGGAGTTCGTATCGAAAACATGATACAAAACGCTGACCAGCATTTACTATATATCTATATATCACGCTATTTATGTATATAGGGTGTATCGATGACCTCATAATTATGTCACGCTCAAACAGTAAGCCAAAGTACTTAATGCACATCTAACACACACACACACACACACACACACACACACACTTTGTAACAACCAGCCAATCGAAAAGGTTATCATCAAGCCTATTTAGTTCGAATTATACAAAAAGTCGACTACACCGCCAGATCCTTGAACTAGTTTATGACCCAATTGTGCCAAAGTGTCTGACAATTGGCGATGCGTTTGGCGCCGCCCAGAAGCGAATTGGTAAAGCCACTTGAATGCACTTTAAATGAGCGCCACCCACCAACCCTACTCTCTACTGGCCCGCTTGCAGCAAGTGGCACACGCACATGTTGCACCCAAGCAGAGGTGCATTCGAGCATTGGCATTTCAGGTCTATTTTCTTTTCAATAAATAAATGAAAACGAGCATAATTCATTTACAGCATGCTAACAATTACGTGCCTGAGTGCGCACTTGTTCGTCTTCAAAAGAATAAAATAAAAATAGAATAAATAAATAAAGAACCCATTCACATGTCCTTTTGCAGTTTTTAAATGGTGTTCGCCCGACATGTTTCACAGTGGCAGCTGTTCGTGCCGCAATTGTGGCACGTGTTACAGGCCTGGGGTCGACTCTAGTTATGAAACGCTCGTTATCTAAAACCTGTTAGCCAAATGGTAGTGCCATGTATAGTGTATACATAAAAGTTTGTTTCAGCTGTGTCTCATTTCATTACCGAATTACAGCCCTTTCATGGCTGGCCCTTGGCCAACGCCACCTGTCACAAAGTCGTTTACAGCGCCACTTGCAATTGGTCATCAAAAAACATGAGCCGGAATATTGGCGAATGCAAGCCTATGCACGACTAGGCAATACCCAACAATTGTCACATGGTTAGTAGTACTCGAATTTAATTGATGCTTCTTTATAGATACTTTTTAGCATAACATTAGCTTAGCTCGACCTTTGTGTGCTGCCTTAGCTTCTTTATTTCGCACACACATTTTGCTCCGTCACTAACTTTCACTTAATCCAGAGGGACCCCAAGCTGCCCTTTGATACACTTTCTGTGGGCGCTACAATTTCGTGGCGCCTGCACCGAAGAACAATTTTTTCCGTAATGCTGTCGCGCTTTTGCCATTTCTCTTAGTCAGAATGCCGCAGGCTGTTGTTGAATTCATGCTAGACATGCCTCCACTTTAATAGTCATTCCCTGTTGGCGAATGTTGCACATCTGCTGTGGCACTCACAGAGAGCTGGCAACATTCCTTTTCGACAGCATTTAACAATTAGTAGGGGGGGCAGTGAGAGTAGGAGTGCACGGATGCTTGGGTCACGTAAAACTCGTCTAAGGGATTCCACAGAACACTTGAATGCTGCAGTGTGCTGTTAAATAATTATTTCTATTGCTGTCAAAATATATATTTGAAAGCTCGAATTTATATTTTTCTCCCCGCACACCTCACACTGTGACTCTTTCTCTCTTGTGGCAGCCTCTGAAGTGCTAACAAAGTTCGCAGCAGCTGCCTTTGCTGTGCAATTAATTTTGTCAACATAACTACTTTTGTATACCCTGTAATTTAAGGAATGTTTAAATAAAGCTGTAAACGTTTAGTTACAGCTTTCAAAACCTAGGAATTTGTATTTATAAAAGATTATATAAGCTAATGTTCATTCAGCTAATGGTGCTGTTTTATCTGTCTTGAGTCATCTGCTGGTAAAACAAATTCCTGGTCCGCCTTGTGTATTTTGTTATTATAAACACAAACATTTTTGTGACATTTTCAGTCACTTTATTCTGTTGTTTCAACATAAATTGTTGGTCAAAAAGTCTGCTTCAAGCGGATGCAACTTTTGCCGTGCTTAGTTTTTGTATGTTGTGTCTGCCCCAGGCGCTTCTCCAAATGCTGAAAAACAATTGGCAAAATGTTTCAGCTGCAGTTCAACTTCTTGGAATTTTTTAGTCATTTAACTTTGTTGGGCTGTGCATATTTTGCTGTCAAAATACATATATTTTTGAGGGGGAAAGGAACGCTTATCAGCAATCAAAAGTTGGGCGTGAATTTTTGAAAAAGTTGAACGCAATGTAAAGTGCATAAATAGCACAAGGACATGTTTAAAATACTTGAGACCATTAACATATGCACATTTTGGAGACAAGTTTTCAAATGGCTGAACATTTCAAATATTGTTAAGTAGTTATACTATGCAAATTTTTGGCACAAGTTTTAAATGTCCTACTTTATCTCAAACTTTATCTTTACTTTAGCTTAAAAATGTATTAATTTAACAGCTACATGACACAAATTTAGCAGAAAACACGTATAATAATTTGACTTAAATCTAAATATTCAAATTAAGTAGATATTTGTATGTGAATTCTGGGCGTAAGCAAGTGTATTTCCTATATCTAAGCAATATTTTTGATTGATAAAATTTATTTGCTTAAAATTGCGTAAACATTCCCTTAATGCAAACAAACGACTTTAATTTTCCATTGTGGTATTTTTGATTTATTTTTGGATTTTCTTATGTACACCCACACACAGACATACATACACGCGCGCACACACCCACCAGCTAAGTAAGCAGGCAATTCATAAATAAAGCGCTGCAATGCCAAAAAATAAATGTAATTTTATTATAATTGGCAGTACGTGCGGCTGCTTGACGTATCATTTGCACACAAATCTGAACCTAAGTGCGCCATAAAAAATGGCGCTTGCCAAGAACTAGGCGCACGACCCGCGCCAATTGCTGTAGCAACAAGGCCAAGGCTGTCAGGTCAACGCACAAATATAATATGTAACAATCAGCAGCCACATGATAGGTGTGCCCGTTCCACACACACACATCCCCCTCATTTGTCGTATATCAACACAAATTACGCGTGCACACAATCAAAAAACAAACAAACAAACCAAAAAAAAAAAAAAAACCCCAATAATATCAGAGGAAAAACGCAATATTTTTGTGTGGCAAAAAAACAAAAGCGGAATAACAAAGGCCACGAAAGCAGCCGAAAAGTGAAATTCAATCAGCAGGAAACAAGAAACGGCATAAATAAGGGCACACAATGTTAATATGGCTGTTGTCTATGCGTTGATTTTTATTTCAATACTTTATTGCGTATACGCAGCCTTATGCAAATTGCTTGTTTACTTAAATTTCAGCTAGCGATGAGCAGCAACAATAGCTCAGCACTCTTTATTTTCAGAGGATAATTTATAATTTATGGTCGAAATTAGTTTTCGACAACAAACATTTTGTTTCATATTTTTTTTTTTTTTTGCTGAGAAAGTTTGACAAGGATTTTCCCAAAGGTTGGCAGCGGCTTGGAAATGCTGTTTACCCAACGATGAAAGTTTCAACTGATTTTTGATTAAAACTTGCAGCTGCCGCGACGGCTGCTGTACAGAGAAAACAAGGCTAACTAGAAAGGGAGGGTTATAATTTGGATAGCATGACCAAGCGTTAAAGTTACAGCCGTAAAAGTTATATTCAAAAAATAACTAAGCGAGAAATAATGAGAGTCAGTTGAGAGACTGATATATTTCTAGTGATTGAACAGCATTCGCATCCGAATCCTGCCAATGGGACTTAGATTTTAATTAAGTTTTTGATGGCCATAGGCGTTGTTAGCTATTGATTGATGGTGTCCAGTGTGCAGGCAGCCCCACTAAATAACAGTACGAATTCTAATTAACCCAACAGCCACAGCCATGGCCACGGCTGCATGCACCATACACCTGACATGTACAGGTGCACAAACAAAGCTAGCAAAATGAGCAATCCAATAGATGTGCCAATATGTCATGTACGCCCCTTGCTTATCAGGTGGGCGGGGGGCGGTGCAAATCACTCGAATAGTTTTATTTCATGCACTTGCAGCTTTCAACAATTGTGTGTGCTTCTACTTTAGCGACAATGCAAGTTGTTTTTCACCTGCTTTCGGTATCTTCGAGTGTTTTTTATTTTCTGTTCGAGCCAATTCCGGGGGCTCGTCTCATAACCATACAGAGCCACATGTATGCTCAAAGCGAAATAAGTGCACTGTCGACCATGCCGCACTTATCTTTTCAATTCATTTTTGTACTTTTATTTTGTTTGCTTCCCAAGAAGCATTTTCTTTTCTATTTTGTGTCGTCACGTGCCAGAAACGTGCCCTTTTATTTGCCTAGTGCCATTTTGAGATTGCTTGCGTTTGTTTTTTGTACAAGAAACTGTCCTTTTGACTTGAGAATTTCTTTTCTTTTCTTAGCAGCTCTCCTAATAGCAATCAGTTGGGATGAGCGTAAAGGATTGCAAAAAATAACTGAGCTTCTAGATTATCTAAACAACATTGGGGGGTTATTTTTTAGTGGATTGTTTTTCAAACTCAACCCTTATCCGTTTCTAATGAATATCAATGGCAATTGTAAATAAAATTGTTGATGCTGGCATTTATAACACTTCATTAAATTCAATGGGGAATCACGAAAAATTATTCAGCCGAATTATTCAATTGAAGCTAAAAAAGTTGCCGAACAATAATGATAGTGTATGTATATACAGATCTCACATTTTTTCAGCGTTAATTTTCAAATTCTGCGTAAAGGTCAATTGATTGGAACTCCAGTTAGAGTGTGGAATTTCAAAAGGAATTTTCCGAAATACTTATTATACATAATACCTAGTTTAGTAAAACTGAAAAAATTACAACTATTAGATAATTTGTTTACCAACTAGCTTTTCAGCTTTTTAGTTAAATATTATTTTCTTATATTTCTATTTATTATTATTCTAGGCCCCAAATATATTTTGTAATAATTCAAGAGTGACACTTACAGCAATCAGTGTTTGTTTTTATTTATTACAGTATTTAAATGTGACTTAAAATAAGCCTAAGTTCTTTGCACTATGAACAACACAGTTTTTAAAAAAGTTTACAAAAATGTTATTCAAGCATTTAAAATAGCGTTCCGTTAGAAGTATTCTGGTCTATTTAAGTCAAGCCGATCGTGCGGCTATTAAAACCGATTCGCGGCGCACGAAACACAAAACACAACTGACTAAACGTTGCCGAAAATTCGCATGATATTATTCGCAGCGAGGAGCCGGAACTGGACTCGGGCAATTGACGACGACGACGAGGGCGAACGATGCGAAAAATGCGCGATGCCAGCTAAACGTTGCGAGCGAAAACTGAAACTGTGCGCGATTCGCAGCAGCACTTGGCGGCTACTGCTGGCAGTAACTTGGCCACAAGACCGACAACGTTGTTAACTTCCACAACTGTGAAAAGCAAATTGGGCGCAAAAGCGAATGCAAAGTCAGACAAAGTCAAACAGTGTCTGCAAACGGTTGCTCTTAGCTGGGCAAAGGCTCTCTTAAATTTCGTTTTGTTGCGCAGGCGCTTTTCAAAACCAGCTGTTGACAACAGCTGATTGGCCATTAGCTGTTGCGCTGCACGCACAATGTTTATGTTTTTGTGTTGCTTTTGCTTTGTGCTTTTGCACCTTTCTGTTACTGTTACTGTTGGTGCTTTGCTCTTTGCTTTGTTTCCCATTTGCTTTGTGCTGCACGGCGTTGAGGTTAAGGTCAGTGCAAAAGGCGACAACAGATGGCGCTTCGGCCACATAGCTGTGAATGAAAAGCCTGTTGTGGTTATGGTAATGGCCTAAGCTAATTTATGCAGCCAACATGTCGTATGTGCAATGTGGTCAGAGCCATGTTTAATGTGACAACCACAAATGCCGCCATGTGTATAATTGGCAGACAAAAAACAAATATTTCCCCTTACTAAAGACATACAATTTATGACATAGGATACTAGTCTGACACTTCATAAACCAGTTCATATTTTTGACTGAGATATAGCTTAATTTCTGTTTAGCACAAAAGCCTAAGTGCTAGTTAAGGTCGAAACGCAGTCGGTTTATTCTTGACACGCAAGTCTGACCTTCATAAAATAGTTTATGGTCTGCCTAACTAAGTATTTATTCCCTAAACTAAAACTTAAATTCAGTACAGTTTATAAGCCTAACTGCCAGTTAAAGCCGAATTGCTATCTGCCCATTATCGACACTTCACTGACAGTTGTCAGACGACCCGTCTTTCTTAACTGTTCAAATCCCAAACATTTGTTAGTGAAGGACTTCAGTGTGTTGGCATTGTCGCTATTGTTCTGTTGGATGCGAAATTTATAGCGTCTCTTTATGCAAATGAAGCGTGAAACTGTCGCAGCAGCAACAGCAGCAACAAAGCTGTTCCAAGCGCTGATATTGCTCCTGGTCCGGCTGTTTGTTCTGGTTCTGGTCGTGGTTTTAGTTTGGTTTGCTGCGCCGTCTGGCTGTCATGTTGGCCAACAGATGCGTCTATCAACTTGTGCTCTTGCCTGTTAATCCCTTAATCCTTAATCCTTTAAGACAGCGCATTGTCTGTGCCAACTCAACTCGGCTTGTGCCGCACTTGAGCTGGCACATTGAAATTGATTCAAATTCCGCTAGCTTAAAGCACAATTATGGCCAACACTGACTAGCCTAATGCGGCATTTCCTTCTAAAATGATGAATAATCAGCCTAAATGATGGCAGCAATTTTGAAACAGATGACTATTGGATGGAAAAAGAGGGAGAGTGCGGGTGATGGCAGACCGACAGCACAAACTGTGGCCGTGGCCACAAAATGCGGTTAAATTGCAGCCTCATTGGTAATGCAACCAAAAATGCGCCTGCGGCAACAACGCTGCCAAAAATATTCCCACAAAAAATACTGCAGACTTTTCTCGTTAGTATTTCCGGCTCAGTGGCAGCAGCGGCAGCAACACTCAGGCCATGCCCCCAAAGTATATCAAAATGTGGCCACCCCTTAACACATTTTCCTCTACGGCTTATGATGCCGCATGTTGCGAGTGACGTTATAAAGTTTGGGGTTGTGTCATAAAGGCCAAAAGCTAGATGTAAATGTTTTGAGCCCTGCAGCTGGCCAATGTGGGATGGGCTGAGGAGGGGTCGTTTAGTTAGCGTAATGGTGGTATTTAGGACTTAATTACAAATGAGTCAAGTTCTAAAATAAATATATATATGTATTACAGCCGCAAGCATACAAATAATTTTCGGTGGCGCGGGTCAAAATTGGAATTACCTTTGGGTTTGATTCGTAAACTTGGCAATTCCATGAACCCAATTTAAACTACATCAATTAGATTTTAGAGTCATAAAAAAACATAATGTTTCTTGTGAATCGCTCATGAGAATATAACATTAAATTAATATTAAATATCAATTACTTTTTTAACTGAAAAAATATGTTTTATATTTTTTTAAAATGAAACCGCGAAAAAAAAACATAAAACAAGTAAGAGGTTCTAGTCGGGAGCGACTAGGGGACTAGGGGAGCTCCCGACTAGATGATCTTCCAACATCAAATGCATATGTTTATTCTATATTAGATGCTATATGTCAAGTTTGGTGACTCTAGCTCTTATTATTTTCCAAAATTGCCCAAAAAAGTTATCGATTATCGGAAACAAACTAGAATCTGCGCGGGAACTAGGAGCACCTACATCTGCAATTTCAAGTCTCTAGCTCTTATAGGTTCTGAGATCCTTGCGTTCATACATACGGACATACTGACGGAAGGACAGACGGGACGACGGACAGACAGACAGACGGACATGGCTAGATCGACTCGGCTATTGGTGCTGATCAAGAATATATTTACTTTATGGGGTCGGAGATGCTTCCTTCTGCCTGTTACATACATTTGGATTTTGCACAAATACAATATACCCTTATACCCATTTTTAATGGGTTCAGGGTAACATATTCCAAATTTCGCGTTTTTATCGCATTCTACCTAAATTCACAACAACAGCCAAAAATTCAGGAAAATATAATAAAAGTGGACATAGAATATAAAATATGCCGCTCTGGCGTTTTTCAATAAAACGCAACCAATCGGTAAATTTATAGCTGCATATTTTTAGAAAATTCACAACAATAACAATAAATTATACAAAATCAAAAGAAAAACAAAATAGTTAACAGCAAAAGGTAACCGAATGAAATGAAAATATAAAGCAACAAGAGCATGGAAATATTCGACTCTCTAGCGACCATATCCATAAACATTCCATATATATGATATGTTCGCATGCAACAGCTAACTGAAGATATCTTCGTGTGATTGTAAATAAAAACCAAACATGCGATTTTCACTGGCAGCCCAAACAATTTTTATATTTATTGAGCTGCCTCGCGTTTGCCAATGCCGCACGTGTGGGCGTACAAATGGATGCGGATGTGGATACGGATATTTGTGCTGACAGCCGGGAATATCGCATGGCTTACATGCATAACAGTTAGCTGGTCGTTGACGCTATGACATCCACCCTGCTGCACTGCGGTGGCTGACACGATTTCGGCTAAAACCCTGTCAATTACCAGGGCAAACTGTAAAGGTGACAGGCTCTTAAGAATCTATATTGTGGCCTTTACAATATGCACTTTTCATGTTGAGCAAATAACTTTCTTGACTTTTCTCAAAAACTGTTTATATTGTGTTACGTTAATTTCATCTACAAGCTGTCATTAGCCTAAACATTACTGGACTGGTCGCGGGGGGCTTTGCATGATTGTAAACAAATAGAACGTCAGATGAATGCTAAACATCGGCGCTGGCGTTTCTTTTTTTTTTTTTTTGTTTCAAATTTACAAATGCCACAAAGCATAAACCAACAAAAATGGGCAAAATGTTGTCAGCGAAATTGTTCAATATTTCTCTTGCGTGGGCAGCGACAGTTTTCTAAAGGAAGCGGCAAAGGCGCTAAAGTCGGCGGCGCCCAAATGTGTTTATTTAAATGGGCCGCAACAGGAGCGTGCTGTCGCTATAGCGGGCCCAAGCTGGGGCGCTGTAAAGCAAAAAATTCAAACTCAAGCAGACCATCCACAAGTATACATATTGAAATTAAAAATTTAAAGCAGAAGACATAATTATATAATGAAGAAAATGAGCAAATTGGAATTAAAAATTCATGATAAATTATTTTGCTTTATTTTGCGCCCCTATTCGATACGATTTCTTTCTGCCGCTGCTGTAGAAAAATCTACGCAGCTTTCGTTACTGAATAAGAAAAAAAATTTGTAGCAAAATATTGCTCAGTTTATATAGCTAGATTTATATACATACATCCACGCCCATGAGTAAATTATTATTTAAAGTGGAAAGCCTAGCCTAAGCACAGCTGGGCCCTGGGTATAATAATTCGTGGCGATTTCAATTTGCATTTTATTAGAGCGCCAGCTTTTTTTTTTTTTGGCAAAGGACAGTTCCGGAGCTTTATTTGGCCTTGTACATTAATCAAACAGCAACAGAAAATTGCGAGGCGTTACGCATAAAATAAAAAACAAGAAAATTCCACGGCACATAAAACAGAGCCGCAGGCGAAACACCGCAGCTGCGAGCCATCCAAGTTATTTAACATTACATTCTTGACAAGTCAGCTGGTTCTATGGACTTTATGCTGGAATTTAAATGCTGCAGCGGATGTCAAACTCTATGTGGAGTACGTGGGTTCGTAAGGTCAATCACTTGGTCAGCAGTTCTTTGAATTGACGCGTCGATGACTGCGTTGACAGACTGACGAAATCAATCTCAATAACAAATTTGATTGCATGTGTGCACTTGTCGTATACGTGACACGCTTTGTGACGTACAATGCTAAAAATAACATGAAAATCTAACAATATTTGGATTGCTAAGCAAATTGAAATTGGATTATATGTTTCATTGAATGCATATGTTACTTTTCAACAACTCGATACAATTTATCGAAAATCTTTAATTTGTTGTGCAATTTCTAGTCAACCTAACTTGGCTTAATAAAATTTCCCATTGCCAAAACTATACACTAGTATTAAAGAATACTCGCCAGCTAAAGGGCTGCCAGGCTATAAAACAGAAATTTACGAGCAGGCGGATGTGTAGCTTCCAGCAGCATTTCGACGAGCTGCTGACCCACATC